GACCATTACAGTAGTCTAACTTTCTTGAGATAAAAGCATGAATTTGCATGATTTTATCAAAGTCTTGATATATTTTAAGATGATAATAGACTGTTAAAATTGAGATCTGAATCAGCAATAACACCCAAATTTCTGACTTTTTTTTCTTTTTACTTAAAAGAAATGGAGTCATGATGAGAATTTACTTTTAGCATTTCTTCTTTAGCACCAAAGACAATTATCTTAGTTGTTTTGTCGTTATGTATCTGAAGAATATTCTGGCACATCCAACTGTTTACTCAGTCTGTGAAGGTGCTATATAAATTTGAGTATCATCCACATAATTATGATAAGCAGAATTGTTGTTTAGCATAATTCTGCCCAAAGGGAGCATGAAGAAGTTGCACTGAACACTGAGGATGGAGCCTTGAGGAACTCAGATGTCATTTAGAACTTTAGTATAAATGAAGTGAAGTTTCCAAGCTGTCCTACAGACAATTTGAGTGGCGCTTCCAGTTTGCCATCATAAAGTGGGGTTTAAACATTTCAGAAAGTTTCCAACTCAATGCTTTTTAAGCCACACCAGCGAAGGGCTCTAGGGATGCCATTGTCAGTCACCCAGTTGGTCCAGACTCAAATATTTCTACTACTGAATAGATTGCCATTAAGTTTGGTACAGAAATTCATGTTCTCCTAAGGATGCATTGTAATAACATTGGCGATCCCCAACTTTTCAGAGGATCGCTATCATCAGATCAAAATTTTATATAATACTTGTCAACATGCTAACATGCTAAGCTAAGTAATACGCTCGCTAAACATCATCATGCTAACATTGTCATTGTGAGGATCTGCTAGCATGCTGTTAGTCTTGTTACAGACATCCTCTTCATAAACCCTGAGTAGTGTCTGACCTGCGTTCAACCCAAGTCAGGAAGAGGGTTGTCAGTATGGGTTTAACCAGAATCACTGTGTTGGTCTTGAAGGGGTCACTGCCAATCAAGAGTTATATGCTAAGAAAAGTCTTGAAACAATGCTAGGATATTTTGGGGATTTAAATTGTTTTTTGCTTTTTATTTTTCAGTTCCATAGGGGCAATCTTAACCTCTACCCCTCATTTTGAAAGAGTGCTTTTCCACATTCATTCATTTTCTTGACAATTTCAGAGGTCAGCTTCATCTTCTTACTGCATTGCAAAGGGAACAGCTTTCTTTATTCTTTTTTTTTCAATTGATTATCTTTTATTCATGCAGACAATCTTTTGGAGATTGAAAATGCTTTTCTTTCTCAGACAGGCCATCTTTTCTCTCAGAGGGTGTTTTTTTTAGCAGACAAGGGCCCAGGTGGAGTGGTTTGACTTCTAAAGCCTGCGTAATGACGCCTCTCTGAAAGCGACGTGCTCAAATTAATTCAGGTCAGGGTGTTATCGCTAGGCTTTTGCTAAATTGTCTCTATGAAATCGGTTTTGCACTGTAAGAGCTAGTGAAACAAGCCAGTGGAACAAGCCAGCGGAGCAAGCGGATTAATTTCCACAACATACAGATTGTCCTTTGGTTCAGTCCACTTCAATTCTCAGCTATATTTAAGACCTTGAAAGGATGTCTGTACTGTGTTGTGACGACCTAACAGATATCCTATTCTGCCTGATAGACATTAGACAGGTTAGCCAAGCACAACTCTCCTAGGACCTCTGTGCCTTGGAGGAGAAAACTGGAAGGTGAATCTCTTATAGAACACAATAGAAATTGTTACCCTGGTGTTTGAATGGTATTATTGGGGGGGAAAAAAGCTAATTTTGTTTGCAGATCTGAGTGCATACAAATAACCAGATATCACTATTTACACTTAATATTATACTTTACATATTGTTGCAGTAAATGCTAGTCCAAATGCTATCCACCAACCAGCATCTCTGAAGGTCACAAATTAACATATTATATCTTGTTTATTTACCACACATTTTTGTTTTTACACTTGCATGCTAGGATAAGCTAACAGGCTGATGGATTCTTCTATCACACTTCTCATCTAACTCAGCAGGAAAGTGGATTGAAAGAAAGGATATTTTCCAAAATGTTGATCTATTCCTTTAATGCTAACAGTACTTCCTACTGTGGCTGTTCTAAAATTACTGCACCGTGGGGTCTTTTGTGACTTCTTTCTTTAATTTTTAAAGCTCTGACCAGCAAACATACAGCACAACTCCTCTACATGAGTGCATCACAAATATGTCACATACATATGGGGGAAGCTCAGTGTGTGGGATATGGTTCATCAGAGACATGGCTACAGAGCCCAGACACATGTATACATATGCACACTTACACACTCCCACACATTTTTATATGGCAGCATGATTAATCATGGCATCTTTGGGAGTTTTAGAGGAAGTTCAGAAAAAACATTTCAACTTCAAAAAGGTTTTTTCGTCATTATTATTACAGGATTAATTCCTGTCTATCACTTTATTACTATTGCTGTCTTAGCGTCTTCCTCCCACAACCTCATCTCTCTGAGGTGACAAAGAATTCGCAGCCCTCATGTGGATACTGTAACAAATCCAACATTTCCACAATCGGTGTTGCTAACTGAGTCATCAGGTGATCACATCAGACATTTTCCCTGCTTCACACTTCTGTTGCTGCTTCACTTTGTTTTCATTCGAGGGGTCTGAATAATTCTAGACGAGCTGTGTGATTCCTCAAAGGACGGATAAGAACACTTAGGTGTCTGTCAGCATAGAAGGAGTACACCACAAAAACACACACACACGCCGATACACACACGGTCATAGAGAATAATGAGCACAGGATTTGGCCTAGAGGCATGGAGGGCAATTCTGACCTTTTGGCCCTCATCTTGAAACAATATCAAGGACACACATGGACACAAAAACACATGTGCAAACAGGATCCAAAATTAACACCATCCGTTTGGCGAGTAAATCTCCCTGTTACACTGCCGGGTAAATGTTTGTACCAAAATAATAATAAAAAAAACTATGCTGAGAGTCCACATTTTGGTGTCTCCACTTTTATGCACATCTAAACAGTGCCGTGAAACTGGCTGTCGTAAGGCGCTCCTAGTTTACTGTATTATCTCAATGAAATGTACTCAAACTTATATATATCTGACACAAAAAGTTATTCATTTTTAAAAGATATGGTGTATTTTTTCATCTACCAACCTTGGCCGGTGAGTCAAAAAGTTAATTTCAGACACTGTGTACACATTCGCGACTAGACAGTGTTGACCCCTGGCCAGGTTACCAGCAGTGGCAAGGTTATATGCAAGGCTATTATTCCTGGCCACACACACATATACACAGATTCGTTAAATGTGTGGCCCATAATGATATAGCTGCAGCCCACTCAGAAGTCACTGAAGGGTGGTCTTCACTTAGTGCTGCTGCAGGTTTTGATTGTAAATGAATTTAGCCCAAGCATACACACATACAGGCCTAAATCATCAATTTCCATCTATGGCAGATTAATTATTAAATGGTCCAGCATGTGCAACCACTGTCCTCACATAGCTCTCAATATTAATATAAATTTAGGTCACATTTGTATGCTGCTGCTGTTCGATTATGCGGAGTGGCGGACCTGATGATTCAGGGCAATTTCATGGTGCTAACATCGAAGTAGTATTAGCAGTGAATACATAAGAGTTTTTTCAGACGGATCCTCTTTGTCTTTGTTGTGCAGATTTCTGGGACAGACCGGTGTCTTTCTAATGCACATCCTGCGATTTATCCTCATTTGTTGCCAGTTTTCATTATTATTTTTTTTCTGGCTGGTTGTCTCTCTGGAGACGAGGCAGCAAGCAGCGAGACTTCCCTCCATGGAAACGAAACGCTTGTAGAAAATAGAGCAGCTTATTTTCTCTGCCAAAAGCCTGCAATAAACTCGTTTTAAAATAAAATCTCCTCACCTACACATTTGAACATGCAACACACAGGTAGACATTAGGAAACAAACACGTATCACTCTTGAATCTTGAATCATAAAACCCCTGACCACCATCACCTTACCGCAACAAAGCCCACAAATCAAATCTTTTTCTTTAATCCAAATCCTAACCTTAGGTCAACCCTTTGTTGAACTGAAAAATGGCACCAAAATGACAGCAACTTAACAGAAATTCAAATTGCTTCTTGCAAAACTAAATAAATAAATTCACACATCAGTCAGAATAATACTACCCTCACACAGCAAAACCACCTCATTTTGCAGCTCTCATTCAAAGTGATGCCTGCTCTGACATGCCATTTTAAGTGTGCAGTCATTTCAACTGTAGTGACACAGCATCACTGCCGTAGGGCCGAGCCTCACCCTCACTGTTCTATTAATGATGTTGTTTATAATTGAAAATAAATTGAAAATAGTGGCTCCCTAAATGAAAGTTCCCCAGGTTTACAAAATATGCTGCAAGTGGAAAGCTCCTGAGAATTCTTTCTTTCTTTCTTTCTTTCTTTCTTTCTTTTCTTTCTTTCTCTTCTTTCTTTCTTTTCTTTTCTTTCTTTCTTTTTTTTCTTTCTTCTTCTTTCTTTCTCTTCTTTCCTTTCTTTCTTTCCCTTTTACCAGTTCCAATAGATGATAATATATAGGGAATTAATCAATTTTACATTATAAGAGTACACTGCTGACATACATGTATCTACTGTATAAGTAAATATAGTCAGAAACCAAGAAACTGAGCAGCAGGTTCTTGTTTAAAAACACACTAGGGGCTGAAAAGTAAGTTACGTGAAGCCAGAAACGTTGAGTCCCCTGTTTTTGTGCTATGATGTGTTAATAATTGTAAGCACTGCACCTTTATTTGGGATACATGAGTGACAGAAGGGTCAGACGTGATGTGACTTAGATGACACTCTAAAGAGGATGATGCCTAATCATAGTAACATCCCAGTTTAGATCAGTGATCTAAATCAGGCCACAAAAAACACAATGCTTGGATTTCTGTAGGTTCTTTACTGACAGACCAAATTCAGCACTCTAACACCTCTCTCATCCCCACAGGGGTGAAAACGGTCTTCTCCGGCCATTATCACCGAAACGCCGGCGGTTGCCACGGCGGCCTGGACATGGTGGTGAGCTCGGCCATCGGTTGCCAACTCGGCGAGGACACCCACGGCCTGAGGGTGGTGGTAGTGACTGCTGACGATGTCATCCATCGCTACTACAGCCTGGAGCAGCTGAGAGCGCGAGGCATGGACGAGGAACTCAGGAAGCTCCTGCAGGCCTGAGGGCCAATGGAGGGAAAATCAGGGAAATGTATTTTTTTGATTACACAGTTTTGAGCCCCTGTTCTGCCAATCAAGAGTTATATGCTAAGAAAAAAAGTCTTGAACAAATGCTAGGATATTATTGAGGATTTAAATGTTTTTGCTTTTTATTTTCAGTTCAATAGGGGCAATCTTAACCTCTACCCTTCATTTTGAAAGAGTGCTTTCCCACATTCAGTTTTTTTTTTTGGCCTGAAATAAGAGAATTAGGAATGTCCTGATCCGATCTCAACGATTGGTATCGGCGCCGATCAAGGCATTTCTTAACTGATTGGTATCGGCTATGTTGAGCTTTAATGATCCGATCTTTTGTTTTACGTCAGCTGTCATACAGCTGTTTACTTACAAAGCTTTCATGCACGGTGCAGCCATCTTCAACTCTTTGTTGCTGTTCCTCTTCCTCCACTCTGCTCTGTGTGAGAGAGCAGTAGATATCTGACACAAGCACACTCAACACGCCACTGCAGGTGCAACAAAAGTCCTGCGAACAAAAAACCAATAAGAGTAACTAATGAATGTAATCCGGGTAAAAGGTGTAGAGACGACGGAAATAAACCCTCAGCAAAATGCAGTTCATTCAGGTAACTCAGGTAAAAGCTGCACTGAAGCACCAAACACTGGAGAGAGAAACTCCCTCCAGACAGCGACAAGAACAAGAAGATTAAAGAGGGTTTGTTATTTTATACTATAATATAGTATAAAAAAAAAAAAAAAAAAACAACAATCTATGCAGGCATTTTGTTTGTTAATGCAATGCAGAGCTATTTAATTGTCAGGCATGTAGGCTACATTGGATTGATTTGAATCATTTTAATGTACTCGAAGTGTGCATGAGCAAGTATCGGATCGGTACAGATACTCAATATTAAATGGACTTGGATCGGATCAGGGGCTATTATTGATAAAATTGAAATTCAGTTTATTTTCTCTCTCTTCTGAATGTTTTCCTAGGAGCATTTCTGCCCTAAAAGGGGTGCACAAAGATCATTCAGTGTTTTCTAAAACTAGTGGTTCTTTTGTGCAGAAGCACAACCATTACCGCACAGTCCCCCTGTATCAGAAGGAGACTGACACTCGGTCTGTCTGTCCAGTGTAAATGTTAAGAGTTACGCTATGGTAAAGGCAAATGTCGTCGGTGTAACTTTAAATGTATACAAACTTTAATGGTATAGGAAGATTCCACCTTAAACATTGAAACCTCATTCAAAGTAGCTCAAAATAATTGGTGTGGTTTCACTGTGCATTTAGTAGTTTGGTGCTACAGTTTTCGTCCTGTTTTTGTACGTAAGCGTGTTCTTGATAGGTACAGGGCTTGTGTGATAATTTCACAAGGAATGTTCTTTAGGCTGTTGAAAAGCATCATGGGAAATGTAGGAAACCACTTAGGTCCAGTTCTTTATCCTAAAATGATTACAGGACTGCACATAAAGACACAGGTTTATGTTATCTGACAGTGTGTGAGGATAAAAGGGTGGAATCCTTCTTTAGTTTTGCTAAAATATCCAGATGTCATAGCTATTTCTAGTTTGCTGTTGTTGCTGTCTAATGACTTGTTGGCCATCCTATGCAAGCTATTCAAATCACTATATTGTGTGTGAGTGTGTGTTTTTGTTTTATGTTCAACGTGGTACATTGTTGTCCCCTGGAAGATGTGGAGCTAACTGCTGACCTCTGATCAGACTTTGAGTTGTCTGTTTATAGCCCTTTACACTGCCCTTACAGGCAAAAGATGACTGTTCTGAGAAGCGTTTTTTACTGCTTAGCTATTATACTGTTTTACATATGTGTTTGAATATATGTTGAGAGATTATACTTAATCCATATTAATTATAGCAAAAGACAGTCTTGTTTTTGACAAACTGATTTTAAAGTTAGACTCCTTAAGAACTAAGACTGATTCACTGTAATTGTAAATGATTGTCTTGTTTTGTAGACGCATTTTTGATGAAGAATGTCGGCACTAACCTCCATGGTAATTTCCACTGCCTTTCCTGTAACTACTTACCAATAAAAGCCAGTTATACACTTTTAATGTAACGCGGCAGCAGTAGGAAATGTTTGGTTCGCATTAGCAGCTTTGATACAGAGCAAGGAGAGTAAACAGTGACGCTAGATTACATACATGATTTCATGTGAATCCTCTGTGCGTGTGGAGGGAATTTGAAGCTAGTGCATGAATGGCGGACCCCGCCACTAACAAGGAAAACTATTTTATAAAAAGGTAATTACATAATGTAGACACATTGAATGGCTATTGCAGAAAAAAAGGACTTGATATAATAATAATAATAATATAATATAATATAAAAAATGGGGTTCAATGTCATGAAAAAGAATTCTAACTTAAATATGTTCTTCTATTGTTAAGGAGTATTGCAGCGCCTATTTTCTGCCCAAATCTATTAATCCTGCATTACTCCAATACAGATAAATTACTAAGGCGTGCATGTTGCAATATCCATTTGGTTTCTTCTAGTTACTTGTTTATGAAAGCGTAGATCAAACTGACTGGGTTTCCCTCACGGTAATGTTTTTGTGATGAAAATATTTCATCATTGGATCAGAGTTTAAATCAAAATTTATGATGCAACACTTCACATTTAAATCACACCTAATCGGTTTAATCTGCTTGGGATTCTTGCTGTGAACTCACACAGAAGTGCTCAGTGCATAAAATGAATAAAGTGTTGGTGATTAATGGGAGGAGCACAGTATTTCCTGACTGTTTAGTCATAGCTGAAATAACCTCACAGTGTCACAGCCTACTAGCTGCAGGCTTATTTGGGAGCTCACAGTCCTGAAATTGTCTTTAAAATGGACATTACTGCAACAAAATGACTTTCTCTGTGAGCCCTAAATGACTCTACTCGATTACACTTTCCACACACACACACACACACACAGACTCTCACACTCGTCCTGACCGACTGGGAATTTAAGAGAGTTGTCATGGCAACCCTTTAGCAACACATCTGTGTGTCTCGTAGAGAGACTGCAAGTGTTGGAGAGAAAGTGTATGTACTCCCCGTTTGTGTGTGTGTCCGTCTGTGGTCTGGTGGGTACTGTAGGTGATTTTCCATCAGCGACGCGATCACTGACCTCATTTCACACCGACGGATCCTGTCTCTTTTCCAAAAAGTCAGCATGTGATGGAGGGAGGAGGGGGCGTCTGAGAGGAATGGATAATGAGCGTAATGTGTAAAAGACGACTCAGTCCATCTCCTTCATTTCCTGTTTGAGAAGGAACCTTATGTCCTTATCTATTTTTATATCCTCATGGTAGCCGAGCTCAATCACATTGTTCTTTATCTTTTTGTGTGTGTGTGTGTGTGAATTTGATTTAGAGGACATTTGCTCTATGAATTGGGGAACATCACATGCTTTGACTTGTTCCTGTGTTGAATTCTAATGAATGACCATACCAAACAATATGACTGTGACAGTTATTTTTTATAATAAATGTTGATTTGTATCTAATGATTGCAGGGTGTTATTGTGTTTATTATGTTTATTACTAACAATTTTTCATGCACGTGATTTAAATTTAACTCACATTGTCTGGAAGGCTTTTTTGAACTGTCACCCCAGCCCCCAGAAAGTTACATTTAACTGCATTTAAAATGCTTATGTTTATTGACCTGTTGCTCTGTCATGCTTCATATTGAGGGGTGTTTGACAAAAGAAAGGTTACTTATTTTGCTAGACTCACTTCAGTAAATCCGGTTTCAGTTGGTTTTCAGGTGCTTTACTTAGTTATCACATTTTTACACTTATTGCATGTGTAAAATCATAATCTAAAATATTTTTCAGTCTAAAGTAAAAGTATTGTACTGTGGGTGCCCTTTAAAACGTACAGTTCCCATAGTGCTTTAGTAGATCAACTTCATCCCTGTTTTTTTGAGTCTGTATTTGTTAACATTATTGGCAAATTGGCACCATCAAAAAGTATACCATATACCAAGCTTTTTAGTGGTACCCATGAATGTACAGACAGCTATCACTGGTTTACTTTGATACTGAAGGAAACTTGATGAATGGAAAAACCATGATGAGTCTCAGTTCTGGAAATGAAAGGAGCGTCCTTTTTAGCTCATCGGGAAGTCACACTTTGACTTATTGCTGTAGCCTCATGGTAAACAACATTTTTTCCATTTGTTGTCTCTTTAAATCCCACTCATCACATTCGACCATATCTATTCACACCCAGTTCGTGCAGAAGTTTTTTTCTTTCTTTTTTGTGAGAAATTATAGATTCCTGGATACTTATATTTAATTTATGAAAGACATAATAGGCTATAACCACACTTTCATTACTTTTTCAGTACTGCACAAGCGTTGCCTTGTCTCTCTCCCTCTGTGATTGTTTCTTGTCATCCGGATACTGTTGTTTTCTGGAGGTCTAATCTGTACACCGTATCTATTGCATGTCTATCCTGGGAGAGGGATCCCTCCTTTGTTGCTCTTCCTGAGGTTTCTTCCTTTTTTTGCCATGTAATGTGTTACAATGTTTCTGTGTTTTTCCTTATCCGAATCAAGAGTTTTTCCTGTCTGAAGAGAAAAACCTAACCAAGGTGAAAACTTGTATCAGAACATCTGTAAAAATGAGCCCTACTTTTCTGTGCCATCTTTATATGAAACACCCCTCAGGATGAATCCCAATCAATCCATTTTCTTGGGATGTACGCTGATCAAATTAAAAAAACAGGAGTGTGGCTTTCTGTCTGAGTTTGTTTTAGTGTTCATGTGACACAGTTTGTGTGTAGCCTCTTCAGAAAGCAGAAACATGTCTGGCTCCAAAAAACGCCTCCTCGATTCTGTTCGCTAAACGGATGATGATGATGATTCTGACATGTATCCATCAAGTTTAGTCTCTCTAAACTTTTGTCCGTCAATACAGACACAAATCTGGATGAGATGTATCATCAACTTTTCAGAACAAACAGAAAAAAACAGACGGTGCAAAACATGCCAAACCACGAGACTGCTGATGAAGACGTGGCATTTTGACATAAAAATATCAACACGCTCATCTTTGAGTAGATCCAGCTCACACCGCATATTGTATTCATAATTTTCCACTCTCTCTGTGTTAAATTAGAGATTAGCTGACTCCAGCGCAGCCGGAGGGGAGTGAGCAGGTGGGGGATTGCTTGCTCGAGGACTCTACAGTCAAACAAATGGCTGTTATTGGACCCAACAGCAGAGAATGAATGTGGGGCCAACTGCTTACAGGTTAGTAATTCGTTCACAAACCCACACACACACACACACACACATACACACATACACCAGGGCGCATACACATTTAGAGCTGTTCTGCTCTAAAATTGAGGTTTAGTCCCTTACTACTGCTGCAAAATTGTGATGATTTGTAAAAAATCGCCATCCCTGCCATTTCTTTGAAAGAACATGAAGGCTCATTTTAGGAATTGCAAGCAATGGTTGATACTGCAAAAATGTCCTCCTAAGATGGCAGTTTCATGGACAGACTGGAGGTCAGCGACGTGGCCTTTGCTCTCTGCTCCGTTCCTGTAGAAGATTTTTTCTACTGCGACAGATGAAAGCTAGTTCCTGTTTATTGATCCAAAGCGCTGTCGCAGTGCTCCCCAGTGCGTGCACATGTACAAATATATACACACATACATAAGTGGAAACACACTACACACACACATAAAAGACACTCTGCAATACTTTCATCAGCTGCCAGGGTGTAAAATCCACAATACTGATGTTTTTCCTCAGTGTTTTTCTCATACAAGTGCGCACTTCAAGTACATGTGGGGGACTCAGGTCACCTGCTTTCGAGCGTACATGAGAGGCCTGGTGGCATGAGGGGGATGTTAACATTTCAGATGTGAGGCTAGTAAATCACCAGAGACACAAAAGGGAGCTTATTTCATGTTTGCCTGAGTGTTTTAGTTCCTAATGGAATCCCAGGAGTTATCATAACATGGTGGCAAGACCCAGTTTGGCAAGTCAGATATTTTTGGCTCCATGTTGTTAGCTGTGTGTGAGCATCTGAAGAAACATACAAGACATACTGTAGGTGAAGCAGCCAGTTTAAAAAGCAAAGACCTCTATGAAGTACTTCACTATTCATCCAAGGTTCATCAAAGTTTTCAAACTCAAAGTAATGACAGCTGAGGCAGTTAAATTACATGCTCCACGAGTTAGGTCTCCCATTCCTACTGCTGGAATAGAGAAAGTAATTTCACAACACAAATCTTCTGCAGTACTGTATAATGCCTGAGGACTTAAATCCACTTTTGTTTGGTTGACTCACATTATTTCATGCTGGAGTCTGGGCAAGAAGTTTATTTGTATAGCACCTTTCAACAACAAGGCAATTCAGAGTGCTTTACATAAGACAGAAAAGGCATTAAGAAAAGAAACACAAGGCAATATAAAAAGACTGTCCAAAAAGACATTTAAATAGGTTTTAAAGCTATACTATGTAACAATTCTGCATTAAGATGTCTACAAACACTAGACCTATTTTGTTGTTTAGTTGTATACTCACATTATTACAAATGTTTCCAACAATGTTCAAACCCAAAGAAACCTGATTTTATTTCTGTAACGGTGCATTTGTCCACATGCCTTTCAATGACAAAATTCACTTTGCACATGCGTCAGCGTTGTGGCTGTCTGCCAGAAGCTGTCATAAATTGAGTTTTAGATCTTAAAGACCTGAGACCTGTAACGACAGCATTACAGTGGTCGAGCCTCCTGCTGGCTGAGACATAAGTACTTACATTCTTGATGTAGTCATAAGATAATAGTAGGCTGATTTAGTAATCATCTTAATATAGCTCTTGAAATTCAACTATTCAACTAACTATTTTTCTTTGGGCCCAAAAACTATTTTATTTGTTTAATTAGTTCAAGTGGATGTCATTCAATAAATTAACAAGAGCAGTCTCAGGGCTGTTTCTTTGTTCAACGGAAGGTGTGCAATGATTTTACATAGAAAATGGGATGTTTAATAGGGGCCTGTAATTGTTAATTCAAGAGTTGTCTACATTATACTTTTTAAAAGTGGCTTAATAGCTGCGTTTTTTAGGGCCTGTGGGAAATCTTGAGGAGGAAAGTGTTGACTTTGCCGAAGATCTGATGCCGTGCAGTTGAAAACATTTTTGAAGATGCCTGCAGGGAGAATATCAAAGCAGCAGGAGGAGGATTTCAGATGTTGCTCAATTTTTACCCAGGCTTTGTAGTTGATAGGACCAAATTGTGTCATGCTAATTGCGTTGGTTATAAGTGGCCAAAGGCAATACAGAATCTATACCTGATATGGAGGAACTGAAAACTTGTCTGTCTAATGAGTTTTATCAGTAAAGAATGAGGAAGATTCATTGCATGACTTTGGGTTTATCAGCAGGTCAACAGTAGAAAATAAGGCAAAGGAAAAGCAATAATGTCAGAGAAGACTTACCTTGCATTTCTACTTTATAATTAAAAATGCAAAGTCTCTCTTTATAGATGTCTCTCTTCATATAATGAACCAGGATTTCTTTTTCACCCACCTGCGTCTTTGCGACACACTCTTTTATTAATTTTCTACCAGTCTGGCATTTCTCTACGGTGCCCTTTTCTTACCGGAGATTTCCTTTACCTTAGTGGTGTCAATGACATCAATACATTTGTAATTTTAGAATTTAAATTAAGCCAAGAGAGGGCATTCATATTCAGAAGCTGAAAATATTCCATTACTTTGATTTAAAGTGGATTTTAATCATCGTAAGTCTGAAATTTGGGAAGAAAAAGACACAATTACCAATTTTGTGGGTAATAGCAGAAAACTAGTGTAAGTAATTACTGTTGGCATGGAGTAATAATTAAAGTAATAACATTATTTTTTAAAGAGTAATAAGTAATAAATTACATTTTTTGAGTAACTTGCCCAACACTAGTGGGCAGATGTTTTTTAAGGTGTTTCTCTCCATCTGTTTCATGTCTGAAGAAGGGTGTGTGTGAGCATTATTTAGTGTGCAGACTGGATGGATGGCCATGAAATTTATTACAGATATTCAAGTTGCCCAGAGGATTTTTTCTTTTGATGATCAGATGGAACAACATCAGTCACCATGACAGCAGGAATGTTAAGAGTCAGTCTATAGTCATCCAGAATACAACACTTTAGTTCTTTAGTGCTGCTGTCCTGGGGGTGGACAACATGAATGTTGAAATCACCAACAATACACTGTCAGAGTCAATGCAGAGGATTGACAGCACTTCAGTGTCATCAGTAAAGTTTACATAGTAATGGCTTAAAATACAGCTCTACAAGAGGAATCCAACTGAAGAGCAGCATATTCAAAAGAATAGAATAAGACTTCTGCTTGCATTGGAAAGAATTATTAAACAATAATTTTTATATGTGAAACTGAAGTTGATGTAGAGTCGATAAGAACTGCTGCACTGTTGTCTTGGTAGTTTCAGTTAAGAACATAAAGTCAGCCTTGTGCTTGATAATT